ATCAACAGAAGTATGGTGTTTAGAACAAAGGAGGTGACATGCCCTCTTTCCCATTCTTAGTCAACCACATGCGGAGGGAGAACCACCGATTGGCTGCCTCCTGCACGCCCCCTACTGGGGATCAAGTCCACAACCCAGGCACGTGCCCTTGACTGGAATCAAACCTGGGACCCTTCAGTCCCCTGCAGGCCGACACTCTGTCCACTGAGCCAGACCAGTCAGCGCAAGGTTCACTGCTTTTAGCATGTCCCCCAAGGCGTGATCTCACCTGACCCTTACAATCACCCGTGTCCATGAGGCAAGGACTGGGAGAACCATCGTCCCCACTTCTCACACGAAGAAACGGAGGCCCAGAGAGGCCAAGAGACAGACCAAAGCTTACACAGCTTATTGCAGTCCAGGGCCCAGCCCCCAGCCTGCTGGCCCTTCATCGCATGGTCCTGTCACCACCCCAGGCCACCTTTGTGACCAAAGGAGCAACAAAAAGGATGGGCATGTGAGGCCCGGGAATGTGACGTGTGAAGGAACGCTAGGTAGCTCAGACCAGGCGATGAGAGATGGGGTGAGAGTCTGCATGTAAACCCTGCAAGTACAATCCCTGAATGTCCAGGAATAATTAAATCGGTCCTCACCCCGCTGGGGGCCCCTTTTCTACCAGGCTCTTCTGTGAAAACCACTTTCAGGAGGAGAAAACCATAATTCCTGCCTGGGATGACAGCACACTTCAGGGACATGTCAGCGTGCGGAGGGTGGGCTCACGCAGCCAGAACAAGCATGTTTGGTGGCACGATTTCCTATTTGGAAAACGGGCATTAAGTGCCCGTTGTTTTTGGAATTCAGGGCACAGCAAGTGAAGCTTGGCACAGCCTCCCTGGCTGGCAAAGACCCACAGCAGCCCCGTGGATTCGTAAGCAGGGAAAGCTCCCCGCCCCCGGGGGAGGAGGGAGTATCCGAAATCCCAGGGCCTGCCACGGGGGAGGGGGTGGGGGGGAGGTTTGGAGGTTTGGAGGTTTACATAGGTTAAGAAATTGTGGGCTAGGTGCCCTTTAAGGCTCTCCGAGTTCTGCCAGTCTGTGTAAAATCCTCTGGATGATTATTGATTGTGGGAAGAGAGAATTTCCAGTCTGATGTGAAGTCAGAGCTTCATGCTCATCCTAAGACACTGCCACCCCCACCACACCAAGGGCTGGGATGGTCGTCTTCAGACCGATGGGTTAACCTCGGTTCAGGCTGCAGAATTGCCACAACCTCAGCCCGCAGCCGAGGCCCCTGCTGGCTGCTCCGGCACCTGTAGATTAATATTGATTTGTTGTTCCACTCAGACACACATTCACTGATTGATTCTTATATGTGCCCTGACCGGGGATCGAACCTGCAACCTTGGCGTATCCGGACGATGCTCCGACCAACCGAGTTACCCAACCAGGGCAGCACCTATAGGTTTAGGGAGACCTGATGCCGCCTGCCCCTCGCTCTAAGGGGTGATCTGGGGAGCTCCCCACGGGCCCTGGCCCCCCACTTCCCTCACTAACTACCCTTTCCCAGCGGGGTTCCCTGGGGCTCCCCAGCTCCTTCTGGCCATCCCCTAAGCATGTTCTGGGGTCCAGCACTCCCTCCTCACCTCTGCGTCCCCTCTCCCTCCTCTTGAATGTCAACTTCGTTTCAAGATAGGTTAATTCTCTCGCCTTGTCTTCCTCATTTTCCGTTCTTTCCACTGGCTGCCTCCCCTCTGCTTCATGGCAAGGCTGGGGCAGAGCTCCGAGGAGCTCCACTGCCTTAGCCTGGTCGATCTTGGCTGCTTGCCTGACACTGTGACCACCACCCTCAGCTTCTGGAAAGTCTCTTGGCGCTCAGCCACTTTCTGTTGACCTTGCCTCCTCATTTCTTCCTTTATTTATTAGCACTTAGCCAAACGGTTACTAATATTTTTTCCAAAAATGTCTTAACTCCATGAGGATGGGTACTAGGTCTTTCTCACACGTACCTGTGCAGCGCCTGCACACTTGTCCTCCCCTCCCCTGGCCCGCCCAGCCAGTCGGCCGAGCACCCATGCCCAAACCCTGAGGGCAGGCAGCAAACATTCAAAGCTAATGCTCTGGCCCAGCCTGTGTGGCTCAGTGGTTGAGCGTTGACCTATGAACCAGGAGGTCATGGTTCGATTCCTGGTCAGTGCACATGCCCGGGTTGCGGGCTCAGCCCCCAGTAGGGGGTGCACAGGAGCAGCCGATCAATGATTCTCTCTCATCATTGATGTTTCTATTTCTCACTCTCTCCCTTCCTGTCTGAAATCAATAAAAATATATTTTAAAAAAAGAACGCGGGCTCCAGGAGACAATCCTGGGACTGCATCCCTCCTTAGCCACTTGCTCAACATGTGACCTTGGGCAGGCTGTCTGCCTTCTCTCTTTTTTTTTAAAAATATTTTATTGATTTTTTACAGAGAGGAAGGGAGAAAGAGAGTTAGAAACATCGATCAGCTGCCTCCTGCACATCTCCTACTGGGGATGTGCCCGCAACCCAGGTACATGCCCTTGACCGGAATCGAACCTGGGACCCTTCAGTCCGCAGGCCGACGCTCTATCCACTGAGCCAAACCGGTTTTGGCATTGTCTGCCTTCTCTTAACCTCAATCTTCTCACCTGTGCCTGAGAAGTAACAAGACAAGGCAAGGAAAGAGCCCAGTGACACTCTGGCCATGCAGGTCCTCAGTAAGTATCTTTATTTTCACTACAATTCATCGTGGTCTCATCATCGTGTTCATTCATGCACATTCCCTTCCAGATGTGGTCTGTACGCAAAATCTTTTCTTTCTTTTTTTAACATTTTCACCAGCATGTATTCTGCTTTCAAACTTTAAAAAACAACATTCTTGAATATTTAGTTTCCCATGTGACTAGCATCGTTTCACTGACATATAAAATGGGGGTTCCACCCCCACCCCCCGGCATTTTTGGTGGGTTTGTTTTTATTTTTATTCCCTCCCTGTTTTATTTACCCCAAGCTCTTGGTGTAACAGGGACAGGCAGGTTCTTGACAACCATCTCCTCCTCCGGCTGCACCTGCTGGCTCAGGGGCCCTCAGAAAGGGTCTGCGTGCAGGCCCTGCCGCTAACTCGCCCTGGGCTCCGGGCAAGTCACTCCCTGTGCTCCCGGCTCCCTTCTATAAACAATGACGCGCTCTGTCCACCCACTCACAGCAGAGAAGCGCTGTCCAAACAAACATGCTAACCATCACTGCCACTCACGGACTAGAAACAAACACGAGTCTCTCTCAGAGGCACAAGGTCTTAAAAGCTTCCTGGGAAATGCCTGTCATGGTCATGTTCTCTGCCAGGGAACAGAGAAGGCACTTGAAAATTCTTGCTTCAGAAGCAGAAGTGGTGGGCCCCAGTGAGCCAGTAGGCGGGGTTCAGGGACCCCATCCCACTTCACTTAGCACGTCTGCCATTGCCCGTCTTAAACCTTGGGGCTGCCTCAGAGGATTTAACAGGCACCAAGTGTAAACCATTCATCTGGGCCAATGTACCCACTTTGCAGATGAGAAAACTGAGACCCTATGAGGCGAAGGGTGTGCCTGCCAGCACCATTCTGCATGACCCTGAGCTGTTTCCAAAGCATCCCTGAAAGGGTGGCCTCAAGATCTGGAATGAGAAAGCATGCAGATCCTCCAGGGAGGCTCAATTGGCCTGGCGGGACGTTCTGGAAAATTGGAAAAATCCCTTCTGTCTTCTCAAGGCCTTTAAACCAGGAAGCGGGTGCGGCCTGGACACCACTCTGGTGGTCAGGAGGTGCAGACGGCAGAGTGAAAGTGAGAGGGGCCAAGCGAACAGTAACAGGTACGACATGTAAAGGCCGGGAGCTCCCTGACCCGCCTCCCTTTGCTCCAGGGACGAGCTGGGCCAGTGACAGAAAAAGAAGGGCCCCTGCCCCGGCCCTGGCAAATGCCAGCAGAAGGAAATAGCCCTCCTGCCACCTGGCGGGGTGGCTGCCCGGGGCCTGATCTCAGCTAATTCGGCAGCGCGAGGGGAGGACACCACCCCATATCAGCTCTGCGTCTCCAACGCACCCAGAGACCGGGCGCGACGTGGAAGAATTGCCATCGATTTTCACTCGAGCGGGCTGACCGCACACAACCAATCTGCCAAGGGCCTGTCTGCCCCGCTGCTTCCCGCTCATCCTAACCACATGCAAATGAACTGTCCTGGCAACCAGAGCGACCGTCAAGGCCCAGCTGGGCAGGGGCCCTGGCTTCTGCTGCTCGGATCAGCCCAGCGAACACCCCGCTGCTGACCGCCATTGTGCAGCCACATTCTGAAGGCCCGGGAATCGGGATGGCGGCAGCTGCTGCCACGCTCGGAGCCGGTTGGCCATGCCGGGTAGGGGGCTATGGGGAACTAGGCCCAAGTCCCACTCGCTCCAACAGGGCCTGGCAGTAACATCCTCACTTGCTTCTTCTGATCTCCGGCCCCTCATTTTTGGAGGATTTATGATATACGCACAACCAGGAGGCACTGAGTTCTGGTCCTGGCTGTGAGCTGGCCAAGTGTCCTCAGGCCAGCAGAGATGGAGGGGACACCACCCAGGGGGCCGGGGCCTTAGAGGCCAGGGGTCCGCCTGCGTGTCCATCCCTGTTCGCCCACTTCCTAGCTATGGCCCAGGCCGGCACCGTCGGCTCAGGGCCTCCCCTTCCTCATCTGTGCTCTGGAGCTGACAACGGGGCATGCCTCCTCGGGGGCAGGTGGTGGGGACTAAGAGAGAACAGACAGGACTGCAGGGCCTCACACCCCCAGTCCTTTCTTCCACAAGCAGGAGCTGGAGGTTCAGAGAAGGGAGTGATGTTCTCAGGGACACACAGCAAGGCAGAGCGGCATTGAGAGGGGAGCCACGTGAGGCAAGCACGAGGGGCTGATGGGAAGAACCCGGAGACGTCCTGCCCTCCTCAGTGGCTGTCACGGGAGGATGGGACGCGGGGACGGCGGGTCACGGGCACGTCGTGGATGATTGCTTAAAAGGGTCAAACGCTTTATTCGCAGGCCTTTTTTGTTTGGAATACACAGGTTTCCTGCCGTCCAGAGAAAAGGGAAGCGGTGTCTGGCTGCAAGAGGTTTTGGGCCTCGCCTTGGGGCTCTGTCCCTCCCTTCTGCCTGCTGCTGGCCCAGGGGCTCCTCTGCTGTGGGATAAGGCACTGTGTGTTCTGCAAGAGGGTGCTCACGGCTGGCTGGTGGACAACGAGGCGGCCTTCTCAGGGGCTGCAAAGCTGAGGCTGCTGAGGGGTCGAGTTGAACTTGGGTCTCTGGCGAGGAGGCCTCGAGCTATGGAAACAGCCTGGCGGGCTTGGCACCGCTGCCTCCTCGCAGGCCCTGGCGTGGCGGCTTCAGGAGGGAATCATGCCTTTATTTCGTTTGCGGTCGGCCATGGTTCTCCGGTTGTGATTGGCTCGTGTCGACTTGTTCGCTTCCTTCTTCCTGCGTTCCTGGGTTGTCTCACGGTTCTGCCCGTGGCCCCGGGGGCTGCCGGCCACAGCTGCTGAGCTGTCATGTCGGTACCTAAGGGAGGAACGACCCATCCCCAGGAGAACTATCAGCCAGAGGAGCTCCGCTAGGAAGAGCCCCGGCCTTCCTTGAAGATCCCTGGGAAAGGGCGCATCTTGGGCCAGGCCCCCCATGCCCCCCCTTCCAGCGGGAGGAGAAGTGGAGCCTCTCGGGGGCGGGGCTCGGGGCCCTGGCAGCTCTGCCTGGTGATTTCTCTTCTCTGAGCCTAGCCTGCGGATGGGACCCTGGCTAGGCGGTGAGGAAGGACCAGCTAGTGGGCAGCCCACACTAGGGGAGGAGGAAGGCTTGGGGATGGGTCCCCTTCTCCATCCGGGGCCTGGTGCTGGCAGCTGCCAAAGACCAAGTGCCCTTCTGGGCTCTTTCAGTGTTACAGTCTGCCTGACACCAGCCAGCAGGCTGGACACATCGGGCTCTCACACGAGGGGACACGCCCTCAGCGTCTGTCAAGTACGGGGTGTTAGGGTGGGCCGCAGAGCTGGGCCACCTGGACTTCCCTCCCACCAGAAACAGCTCCTGAATGCTCACCCCTTCCTGGCGAGAAAGGCCATGCGCCTGGCTTCTGCCTTCTCCCGTAGCACCGCAGGGTCCTGCACAAAATGGTCGGGCTGCGGAGGGGAGGGGGAGAGAGAATCACGCGTCGTCCCAGATGCCCAAGCTGCGGCGAGACGCACTGACTGAATCTCGTCGATGCCTCCATGCCAGGAGCTGGGGGAGCCACAGCAGGGCAGGGCCCGGCCCCAAAACGCCGCCTCTGTCCCTTCCCCCAATTGCCCAAGGGGGAGGCGGCACTAGGGACTGAGGGTCCCGGACGGCATGGTGGGGGGGTGACTATAGCTGGAACATAACGACAAATGGGAGCGATGGGGGCTGGTGGCCTGGCCCTGGACCCATCTGAATTTATCACCCTGGTGGGGGCCCGAGGGGACCCAGGGGCCCTGGGCTGCCCCTCCATTCAACCTGAGCATCACGGCTTTTCACTGTCCTCTGTGTTGAGGTTCTAGTTAGATTTTATTTGAAGAAAACGTTTAGCTGCTAAAAAAATAAAATTTTCAAACCCACCAGCCCAGATGGTCTCCCAGGGCCCGTGGGCTCTGAGGCTTCTCTGATTTTAGAAATTGCCATCCTGGGCACGGAGGCAGGCAGCTGCCCTCTCCCGGCCCCCGGCTCCTGGGCCGAGGGAACCCAGCAGCTTAAAGGCCCGGCCTCTGATCCATTCCCTGGGCCCTCCCTGGGCAGCGGAGGCGAGTCCGAAGCTAGCAGCTCTCCGAGCAGACATCTGGGCTTGAAGGTGCCCTCTCCGCCGGCAGTGAGGCGGGGCTGCCTCCAGGCCAACAGGATGGGGTACAGTGCTCTCCACTGCCCTTTAGAGCTGCGCCCTCCTCCCTCATCCGCCACCTGCCGAGGAGGTACCTTGGGGGCCTCATCTTCAGCTTCCTCCTCCTCCTCGTCATCCTCCTCCTGCCCTTCTGTGGGCACTTTGGTTCTTAGCACTTGAGGGATGGTGAAGGGCCTACGGTTTAGAGAGAAGGTCAAATCAAAGGCAACATTAAACTCAGAGCCTCAGGGCAGAGGGAACGGGGCGGGTGAGGGGCCCGATGGGACAGGCTGGGGAGGCTGGGAAAAACCAAAGTGCCTTTCCCGCCGGCTCTGCTCCAGCCCCCGGATTCTCTGAGGGTCCCAGGGTCTGATGTACAGGCTTGGGGGGGACTGAGCGTGGGCCGGGGGCTCTCTAGTTCACTTTTCATCTGTATTGGGTAATCTCCATCTAAACCCACTGGGAAAGGCTTTCTGCAATTGAGAACAGTGTGAAAATACTGCATGAAGTTAAATTAGGGGACCCACTGAGGGTGGGTTGGACCAACCAGCCAAGGGGGTGACTGGCTGGAGAGAGCACTGGACTCGGAGTTTGGGCCCTGGTTCTGCCACTGACGTGCTCATGTGATCAGGGCCTCGGCCTCCCCACGTGTATAAACAAGAGGCTCTGGGAGAGCCCGGGGGCCCGAAAGCCAGGCTGCCCCCGGAATTCCACCCTCTACCTGCCCCGTGGCCTCACCGGCGGCTGATGAGCTCATCGTCGGAGTCGGCATCGTTGGCGCCCACCTGGTTGCCATCATACGTGTCGTCATACTCATCCTCATAGTCATCGCCCCGGTAGGACAGGCCCTCGCCTGGCTGCAGTGGCACCTGCAGTGGCAGACGCGTGGGTCAGAGGGGCCCAGGGCCGCTGGTCTCCCCAGCCAGTCGGAGCCCCGCAGCCCGGCACCCACCTCCTCCACCACCACACGGTACTGCTCGGAGCCCCGCAGCCCGGCACCCACCTCCTCCACCACCACACGGTACTGCTCGTAGCGCTGCCGCTGCGCTGCCACCTCCCGCTTGTCGTTCAGCAGGCTCCTCGCGTTCTCCTCCTTCCTGGCGTTGAGCGGAAGCACCGAAGGAGAGAGGAAAGGACCATCAGGCTCCGGAGGCTGTGTCCAGGGTCCAGAGAGACCGTGGGCTCCCTTCTTCACCCTCAGGCCAGAGCAAACGGGAACGACTTCTACCCAGCCCAGGCGGGGTGTGGGGGGGTGGGACTCACCGCTGCTGGTGCCCATGTGCCCGGGCCCAGAGCTTTAGAGGGCAACCCAGGAGCAGCTGTTAGAATATAAAACAGCCCTGACTGGTTTGGCTCAGTGGATAGAGCGTCGGCCTACAGACTCAAAGGTCCCAGGTTCGATTCCAGTCAAGGACATGTACCTTGGTTGTGGGCATGTACCAGCAGGGGGTGTGCAGGAGGCAGCTGATTGATGTTTCTAACTCTCTATCCCTCCCCCTTCTTCTCTGTAAAAAATCAATAAAACATACTTTAAAAAAAAGAAGAATATAAAACACCCTTTAACCAGAAAATTCCCCTTCGGGGCACCCGCCCTAGAGAAACGCTGGCTGTGTGCACCAAGAGGTCTGCCGGGGGATTTTCTGTTTTCAGCATCGTTTGTGAATCGTGAAAATGGAAAGCAACCAATGCCCATCACCAGTGAGATGCTAAATGACCTGGGACACATCTCTACCACCACACGCCGTGTGGCAGCTCTCAAGAATGACGTCGATCTGCTTATGCGGATGGAGAAAGAATTCTGAGGAGGAAAAACCCGGCTACAGAAAATGCATACAGCACGATCCCATCTGTACGAAAGGCTGAAAGTAAGACTGTCTGTTCCTGTGGGCACGTCTGTACCTGTGTGTGTAAACGCACAGAGGGGTAGTGAGCCTCACCCAATGACAGTGGGCACTCCCGGAAGGGTCCGGGGTGTGTGAATCTTTTAAAACAAACATTTAAGAAGGAGCAAGGCCACATGGGGTTTTCCTACTGAGCTCACGGGAGCCCCAGGGGATCTTTGGGGTGTGAGGGTCAGGAGGGGTCCTGACCTCTTCCTTTCACCCCCACTTCACCATGGCGGCCTTCTCATTGGCCTGTGTTCAATCTTGCATGTCATATCGCACGGGGAAAAATGCCTGTAAGTTCATTCCTGACGTGTCACAGATGAGGGAGCGCGGGTGCAGGGCTGGGGAGGGACTGCCTGGGAAGGCCATGAGCTAGCACAGCCGCAATGGGGACTCAGGCTTCTTGACTCATAGCTCGGCGAATCTGTCGAAAAACCTGGCTTGTCAGACACGGAGGCCTGTGGAATGCAGTTTTGAGCCCTGCAGGGGAAAATCAATATGAGATGCTAGGCAAGAAAGTCCAGCTTAGCTGTGAAATCAGGCCTCTGGAATGTACCGAGGGTAAGGGGGTGGGAGTGGGAAGAGACACAAAGCCATACGCGGCCTCCATCAAAACCTTCTATGAACTGGCTTTTGATACAAGCAGGGGTAGGCGCCTGCATCTGTGGGGCTGTCTGCCGCGGAGCCTGGGGCAGGTCGGGACTGCAGCCTCCAGCGTAGGACTGGACTTCTCTCAGCAGCTTTTACTAAGGGCCTACTATGTGCCAGGCAGGATACTAGCGCTGAGTTGGGGCGAGATTCAGACAAGAGTAGATATGGGTCTGACTTCATGGACTCACAGTCTAGTGAGGGTGACAGGCAAATAGACAGCATGGAGTGTGCCGCATGGAAGCCAGCCCTGGGAGTTCAAGTGTGACCTGCCTGTGCTACTTCATTTCTCCTGTGCTCCTGAGGGCAGGGCCAGGACCCTGAGCCCTCTGCCCTCCCCAGATTAGGACAGGTGTCCCCACCAAGCCCCTCACGCCCCACCCCAGCCCCTCCCCCCCTTGATCACTGCGTGCTGCATGGCCTGCCTTTCCCACGGTCTCTGTGCCGTTTTAGGGCGAAGCCTGGGTGCCCTGTTCACGTCGTCTCCCTACTGTTGAGCTCAGGATCCAGCGCTGGTAAATTGCTTAATAAATATTTGCTGAATGAATAAATAATGAGTACACGGACAAAGGCTTTGCCTCTTTGCAAACCTCAGCCCTGGGCTACCCGGCACAATGAGTTCAGTAAACAGCTGCCACCCTAGGAGCGGGGGCGCAGCCCTCCCCGTCTGCCCCTTTACCCACAGTCCAAGCTACCGAGGCTCCTTCTGGCCTGGAACAGTGGCCACTGAAGCAGGAGACCATTTCTGGCCTCGGATCTGGGGCTGTTGCAATGTGTGTGACTAAGCAGATTCCAATTGCTTCCTGTCCAGCCAGCCAGATGACTTTATAGCTGGCCTATGCCTGCTCTCCAGCACTGGGCCAGCCAAGCTCCCGGCGGCCCTGGGGGGGGAAGTCGCACGGGCGCCTCACTGCAGCAGCAGCTTGCGATTCTGCCTCTGGGGATCCTGTCGTAAGGACCGGCAGGTCCCCACCCTGTCTGAACGGCACTGTCTCCATCATATGCCGGGGAAAGGGCAGGCTGTGCTCGCCCAGCGGTGCCCAGAGTTCTGGATTTCATCAAACACCACCCCGTAGGGGAACTTTGGGAGACGAGCACAGTGTTGTCAACGTCTTATTTTTGCCTTCTCTACTATGCTGTCCCCTCTACCATCACAGCCGACTCTCAGTCCCTCCCAGGGGCTCCCCTTCCAAAGTCAGGTGATCTTTCCAGAACAAAGTGCACTGGCCCGTGGGACCATCGCCATCTCCCCATGGCCTCGGGGCCGCTGCCCCGCTGTGCTCTCTGCGCGGAAGCTTCTCCTCCCCCGCTCTGCACGGACCCTTCCCCCTTCCTCCCCTGGTCCCATGTCACTGCCTCAGAGGAGCCTTCCTGCCTGGATTGCTCGAAGCCCCTGCCAGCGGCGTGGAGGTCTGCTCGCTCCGCCTGTAGCACCTGTTACAACCGACTTCACGTTGCCGATCAATGAACTGATTAGTACAAACGCATGTGGGCAGGGGCATGTCTGTTTCACTCCCCGCTACGTCCCAGCACCTAAGCAATCCAGGGCCAGGGAGGCCAGAGCTCCGGGCAGCTACTTGTTGGCTGAATGAATACATTGCGAATGGTCTTTCAACGCCAAGAAAGTAGGAAGGACATAAACTAAAAGTACAGTATGTGAAGGGCCTTCAATGGAACACGCTCGCCTTCGGGAAAGCTCGCTCAGGGCGGGTCCTTACTCTCCTCCTTTGGCCGCAGCCTGGAGGAGTCAGGTCTCGGGGAGACTTTCTAAGGAGCCCTGCCCAGCTCCCCACCCAGAGGCCCAACAATGCCAGGCGAAGGGGAGAGTTTGGGCCCTCTGACCTTTTGCTATCAACGAGGAGGACTCACTAAAATCAATTTTTAACTGTTGTGATGATTCTGAAATACAATTGTTAAAGAACCTGCACCCAGCTGAAAAAACAAGCAAGCAAGACAGGTCTGGGGCTGCCAGGGAGCCCTGTCTCCTAAAGATGAAGCCATGGTTTCTCTCTCGTTCTCGCTGCGCTTGCGGAGTTGGGGTGCCTGCAACCCCGCAGCCCCCTGCACTCACCTCCTGCCCTTGTGTACCCGGCTCAGGTCCACTGAGTCCCTGCTGAACACGTCAAACTCATCGTTCTGGAAGACGTTGTGACGCGATGCCAGCAGAGGCGTCGGGTCGGGCTTTATTTCTCTGGGGGGAGCGGGCACAGAAAACAGTGTAAGGGGGACTTGCCGGCTCATGCCCACCTGTACCCCACTCCCCCTTACCACTCGCCTTCAACAGCCACACCTGGGACACAATCTAAACACCTGCCCTCTCTGGCCCCTGCCTGGAATGACCCGCACCTTACCCAAGGCTCCCCTCAGTCCCGCTGCCCATTCACACCGATTTTCTTAAAAGTCCCCTCCCTCATTTGCTGCTCACGACAGCCCTAGGAGATAGGCAGCCAGAGATCACTCGACCTCTTTGTGCCTCAGTGCCTTCATCTGTAAAATGGGCACAAAGAGGCTGAAAAGCTTGTCCAAAGGCAGAGCTAACTCAATCCACTTGTTTGATAAACATCATTTGTTCATGGAAGAAATACCCATTCACACACTCATTCGTGCTGCCCCACGGGCTCCTAGGGAAGCAGTGGGCCAAACTCAGAAAGGGTCGATATGGAGGAAGTGAGAAACTTTGCTGCCCTTCCTCAGGGATCTCCTGGGAAGTGGCAACGACGGGGAAGAGTGGGAAGCAGAGGAGCGAAGACGGGGCCCTGACAAGGCCCGCAGAGCGCCTCTGGCCAGGCCCCGGGCAGGCGGGCGGCCAGGAGCCTCCTCCCGCGTCTCCCCACCTGTCCAGGCCGCGGTCCAGCTGGCTGAGGGCAGGGGCCAGCCGCTCCTCCAGGATGTCGTTGATCACCTGCTCCGGGTCATAGCCGTAGTGCTCCAGGCAGGCCAGGATGAAGCCCTCCCCGAGGTCCGGGAGCAGGTCCTTCACTTGGGAGATGAGCGAGTCCAGCTCCACACCACTCACGGGGGGGCCCAGGGCGGCAGCGGCCCCCAAGCACTGGGGGAAGCGGGAAAGGTGAGGCCAGGTGCGAGCTGGGGCAACAGGCCCCCAACAGCACTGGACCAGGAATCCGGGGACCTGGTGCCAGTCCTGGCCCTTATAGCCATCGGCCCTTTGCCAAGTGCCAAGTCGCTCCGAGCCTCCGCTCCCTCCCTGTGGGAAGGGGCTCTAGGACTGACCAGCCGAGCTGCTTCCGGCCTCCGAGCCTCAGCCTCCTCCTCATGAACAAGCACTCATACACCACCCGCCTCAGAGGTCGACTCTCCATACACAGTCTCGGCTTCTACTAGCCCAGGTCCCTTCACGCTAACCAGGGGCGGCTGGCCATGGGGGGACACAGCCACAGTCCCGGGCCGTGGGGTGATGCTTCCCTGTAATCAGATGCTTCTCAGTAAGGGAGCCCGTTTACAGACTGCTTGATGTGGCTTAATTTTGTCAGGCTTTTCATTTACGGAAATTCCCAAATAAAAGACAACAAAACCTTCCCTGACTCAGATAAGCAGCCGAATGGGGAGGGGGGTGGACAGAGGTGAAGGGCTGTCACTCCCCAAGGCCCTGCGACAGTGAGGGCACGGGGCTCTGAGAAGCATGTCAGTGTCTATTAACGAGGCACCAAGGGCCGGCCACGTGCAGGGAGCGCCACGCAGCCGCCCTGGGAGTCCCAACAACCTCAGGGAGGAGGAATGGCGATGAGCCCCACCTGACAGATGAGGAACCAAGGCTCGGAGTGGGTGACGCTGCCAAAGGCCACACGGCTGGCGAGGGGCAGGACCCCAATAGACCCCTGAGCTGCCTGACTCCAGAGACTGTGTGGTCTTACTCCCCAAGTCACGCTGCCTCCAGTCCTGGGCTCAGCACAGCCACGGACCTGGTGGCTCTGGAAAAGCCTGAGAGGCAGCAGGAGAGGAGAGGCTCCCACACGGGCTCTGCGGGCCCGCAGCCCTATGGAGGGGCTTCCAGGGGCCACGCAGTGAGACCTGGCACCGCACCAGCTGCAGCCAGAGCAGCGCCACGGGACCTGCTCAGAGGATGGCTGCATCTGATGGGGGGAAACTGAGGCTGTGACAGCTTAGGAGACCAGCTCTCCTTGACCGGCCCAGCACGCCCAGCTCAGGACCCTCTGAGGCAGCACAGGCTGACAGGCAGGGCAAGGCTGCCCATTCCAAACCCGCCCCCCCCACAACCGGGGCAGAAACCAAGAAGGGAGGTTTCCGCTGCCCCAACCCCTCAGACAGGATGAGGACAGGAGCGGCTGCCACGGGAGAAAGCGCCACTCCAGACACACCTCCTCTTCCTCCGAGTTCTCCGGGTGTGAGGCCGGTCCACTGACTGGCTCCGCGGTCGCCCCGACGCCATTAAGATCCTCGGCCACTGGGGGGTCTTTCGCGTCTGTGGGTTTCCGTCGGTCCACCCCTTCCCACGCACTCTCTACCGCCTGGAGGATGTAGGCAGCCCGTGTCTCATCTCTGAGGATGTGTTAAGGGGTCTCTCTTGGGGTCATAGCCTCTCTGCCCCCTCAGCTCAGAGGCAGCAGCTTCATTTCTCAATCCCTCCCCAGCATCTGATCACGTGGCTGCTGACAGGGCTGTCTGGGATGCACCCCGGGCGGCAGCAAGGCACCTGGGCTGCATGAGGAACCGGGCTCGGGCCTGGGCAGGGGCCCGGGGGAAGCAGCTGCCTGTGTGTTCTCGGGTCAACCGCCCTCTGCTCCCCTGGGCCCCGGCAGCCCACCTCTGGCCTGGTCAGGCCAGGTCCCCATCCCCGGGGCAGTGAGAAGGATACAAGACGGACGAGGCCTGCTGCAGCAAGCTGACGTCATCGGCCACCGGGAAGAGCGCATCGTAGTCCCGGAGGAACCTGCCAGACAGACAGCAGATGGGAGGGGAGGGCTGGGGCCACAGGGGCACTGGCCTGCTGTGGGCCACACCCCGTGTCTGCTGCCCAACCACAGATTCCAGAACCTTAGACCGCGGTGATTACGGCAGGGGCTCTGTTATGCAAGGTCTGTGGGGACTGATGAGGCACCATGGGCCTGTCCCGCTGCTGGTTCCAGCTCAGCCACACACCTCTTCTCCTGCAGCAAAGAGCTGAAGATCTGCAGGAACTCTTCGATGAAGCCCTGAATGTTGTCACAGCTGCAACAGGACAGCAGGGATGAGCTCAGCCAACGCAGATGATCCACAGTTCCTTCCCGCCCGCCCCGCCCTGCGCAAGGCCTCCGGCCAGTTGGAGGAAAGAGGCTTTTTCTTGGTTTCCCTTCCTGCTCAGCGATGGAGGCAGGAGAGGGGGCAGATCGTGAGGGCGATGGCCCTGCTGGGCTGGGGCGGAGGCTTTCCACCTGGGGGCGGCGCCCAAGGGCTCACCTGCTTTCTAGGATGGGGAGAAGGCAGATCTGGTACAGGAGGATGTGAAAAACCTCCAGCAGCTTCTTCCTGGAGTGGGACAGCCTCTGCCACAGGTCACCCAGCAGCCTTTGAAGGCCGAGGGGAAGAGAGAAATAGGGATTTGAGAGACTAATCCCACTCCACCCAGCTCCACCCCATGCACGCCCTGGGCTGAGCAGGCCTCACAGCTCACTGCTGACAGCAGCGGGGAAAAGGCCACAGGCTCTGAGGCTGGCTGGTTCCAGGGTCACTTCTAGTTCAAACGGTGGGCCCGGAAGCAGCGGGCCGTCAGCACGAGCTTAGAGCACAGCTGAGGGGAAAGGGCTGCGATGCCGGGGCCAGGAGGCTGCTGGGTAGGGACGCACCAGCCAAAGGCGCGTGGTCCTTGGTCCCACCCGTTGCCTTGGAGACGGGGATGCTGAAGCAGGGCCTGTGCTCCGGCTTCTCTCACCCACAGCACCACCCAGAGTTTTGTCCCCGCCTCACCTGCTGTCTTCGAGCCTCCTCTTCTTAATTGCAGACTCCAGCTCGGGAATTGCTATTTCGTAAAAGGAAGCGAGTCTGTGGAGGACACGTGGGTAAAGGCTACGTTCGTTCATAAACACGACACGTCACGAGGAAAGCAGAGCAAACCCGAGGGAGGAGGAAGGCGCACTTCTTGCTCCCAAGTTATCTCCACAGTTTTCTCCGGGGACGACCCTGGCTCTTCCCCACGCTCACCCCAGCCTGTCCCGCTGTGCGGGTCCCAGGAAGTGACCAGCAGCCACGCCTCCCATTCAGATGGGAAACCATCTGATCGGCTCAGTCTAACAGGGCGACAGACGGCCACCCCGACGCACTGAGGTTTGAGAAACACACGGGTCACTCTCTCTTTTGTGCTCAGAAACTTCTAGCCGCTGCCCACCTCCTCTGTCCTCAAGTCGTAACGCCTCTCTCTAGGACATCCTCACCTGGCACGGCCCTGCTTCTCGTCACGGCGACCTCACACCCACACCTTCCCGGATGGGATCTGAACTCTCCGTTCCAGCCACACACTTCACCATCAGGCTCCCCCACGTGATTACTCCTTCCCAGGACCAGAAGCCCGGCACCAGAATAGGCTGTCCTTGAATTTCAATGCAGCCACCTCTCTCCTGTAGACTACTTCTGTCTGAGCATCCTAGCTCCCCAAAGCCAGAAAGGCAGCCTATGTGCCTAGGACACTGCTGCATCCGTAGCACGTACTCTGTGAACGTTTACAGGCAAATGTTTGTCAACTGGCTGATGTCTGGCCACTTCTAGCCTAGTGTAATGCCGCATGTAGCAGAGGGTGACCGGCCAAAGAGGCCTTAGTGGGCCCCTGGGATGGCACGCAGAAGACAGAGAGGGTGGTGTGGCCCACATGCAGGTGTTGCCAGGATACATTGCTGGGGGGAGAGTCAGGTGGAACAACTCCTATGGAGGGTGACTGGGCGAGATCTATAAAAATTTAAAATGCATATATCACCGGCCCCTGCAATGCTACTTCTAGGAATTCGGTCCTCAGAAATACTTGCAGAAGTGCAAGATGGGTGTGCAAAGTTACTCTTTTGTTTTGTTTTGATGATTTATAATTTGATTTTTCAATTACAGTTTACACTCAGTATTATTTTGTATTAGTTTCAGGTGCACAACATAGTGTTAGACAACCAAAGAGTTATTCTTTATAGCATTTTTTTTTTATAATAGCGAACGTCTGAAAAAAATCCTATAGGTTCATCTATGGGGTCTGGTATCCCACTCAATGGAATTCTACCCAGCCATACCAGGGATTGAGGGTGCTTTATGCACTGACATGCATCAAATTTAAAAGTACAATGCAAACAGCACAGAGAGCACTCATATGCCAGCAATACATTTTTAAAAGCGGCTGGGCGATATATAATACACATATTTGCTTACACATGCCTATTTATATGCATATCTCTGGAAAATTCCACATAAAAACTAAGGACAATGGTTCTGTATGAGGAACAGATTAGAGTAGGGGAGAGTGAGGCGTCACTATATATTTCATACTTTTTTGAGTTTTGAACTGTGTGCATGTATTATTCATTCATAAAACCAAAGGACAGAGAGAGAGAAAGAGATTCAGATGCACTCAGTACATACTCAAGAGAAAGGAGAAGGCTGCCATGAGAGGGATTAGCGAAGCTGTTGGGGACTCGTCCCTCGCAGAAAGTTCTCGGGATGAGGTCATGCATTTGCTCAGTGGGCGTGCCTGGCCTCCAGCACAGCTGAACAGGCTGGGCCAGCCCCAGGCTGTGTGTGGGTCAAAGGCAGTGTCACTTGGCAAACATGTTTCCCTCTCTTCCCCCCTCACCCTGAGAGGCCCAGCTGCTCCCCTGCCTCCACTGTCCCTTGCAGGAAAGTCCGCTCTCCCAAAAATTACCCCCAACTCCAAAGACCCTTTCAAAAGCTACCTGTGCCACATTTGGAAAGATCTGCAACAAAATGGGGAAAAGCCTGTGAGAAGTGAAAATCAGCAGGCACTAAAGTCTAAGAATCATGTGATCTGTCAGTGATTTTCATTTCCTGCCTTTTGGGATTTTCCAAATTCCTACAAGCATTGGCCAGATTTACCAGGAGAAAAGATGCTTTTTCAACAAAATGGACAGCTACAGTGCCAGCCTAACCCCTTTCTTCTTGGAAAAGCGTCGATCAATGCTTTATTCTAACATTCTTGGGGAGGCTGATCAATCTTAACACCTGATCTTCACCAGCTGAGGTGATCCGAGTCAGACACCGCTGCCGCCTCTGGCACATGTCAGCGCTAGATAAACGTTTTGTTGCATGGGCGAGTCAACGACTGAATGGACTGGCGGCTGGGCAGGCAGAGCTGGACAGCTCCCATAAGCTCCTTCAGACAGTGGAGAAAGATGCCTGGCAAGAGCAACAGCCAGAGGCCAGCCCCGCGGTTGCCAGGCAACGTGCAGGTTACCAGCCCGTGCCCTGCACCCCTTTCTTCCTGCACCAGGAACAGATGCTCATGGTGCTAAGGGGGCAAAGAGGACTCCCCCTGCTCCATGCCCTCTCCACCTCTCTCTTCGTCCCAACAGGATCTTCCTATGACTTCTTTGGATAAACACTTCCAGCGGCTCCCTTCTGCCTACAGAATAAAGGCCCCGCTCCCTGACAGCATGTTCAAGGCGCTTCTCAGTCTGACTTATCCCAGCCACCCCCCCGCCCCAGCATCTCTCTGTTACCCACCCTGTTTCCCGCTGCCTTGGTCTCTCCAACCCCCGCCACGTGTCGCCCTCCACTCCCTGGCTTTCCCAGGAACACACTCTGGGCCTTCACTCCACCGGCCTGGCCTGCCCTTTCTGCCACTGCAACCTTTCTCTGTCTGGAAGGTTCTAGCTCATTCTTCCAAACCTTGTTTGAGGATCTCCATGAAACCTCGTATTTCACCAGGCAGAATTCTGCTTCCCTCCTCGGCGTTCCCAGAGCATTTCCTAATGTGGCCACCACAGCCCGCCCACGTGTAAACGTCTCTGCTTGTCTCCCTGCGTGTGTCCCTCTGCCCTGGACGGGATGCTGAGGTCCGCAGACCATTTCTTGTCTATTACTCCCGTGCGCCTGCTCAGGACAGGGGCCTTGAAATCAAATAGAACTGAATGGGATTGCCCTATTCTTGGTTGTTTTTCCCCCTTATCCTCGAGCGCTTCTCAATGCAGGCTCCACACCAACAGGAGTCTGATCTGTCCTCTTTACTGCTGTGTCCCCAGGCTGGAGGAGGGCTCTAAGCACCCAGTAAACACTTGCTGAATGAGGATGCGAACTAGAACCTCTACTCCATCCGCCAGAACGATCGCAGTACCTGTAACAGAAGTCGTGTTTCTGGAAGGTTTGGCAAGCCGAAGGGAAGATGTCCAGAAAGGCCCAGAGCGTCGTGCAGGTGTCACAAAGGTAGAGAACAATGTCCTTTAACTCCTGTTGCCAAAAGGAAACACCGCGTTATTCTCCTCGCCCCGTGACAGCTCTGCAGAGGGCAGGAGACAAAGCTGACAGAGCCAGGGGTCCCCAACAGGCAGAGAGATGGATGCCTTGTGGTGGGAGAGCACGGGAGGTCTGGGCCAAGCCTGGCTGCCCGTCTCTACGAGCACAATCGGGGCAAGTCACTCACTCTCCCTAAGCCCCGGGACTTGCTACCACAGCTCCAATGGGGTCTCTAGGGTTACTTCTAGCTCCAGGGTCAGATGGTTCTCTCTGCTAAACTGAAGGAGAATCACCCCTGAATCTGAACACAGCACCTATGGTCCCACACCAAGTACATCCCGGTGAGAACAAGAACAGCAAGCCCACGCTCTCCTTGCATTCTGAAGAGGGTGTTCAGGATCGGGAGTGCTTTCTCAGACACTTCCTGGTCGTCATGACCACTTATGAGCTGGGCAGCTGCTAGACTCTCTATTGTGCAGGCAGGAACCGGAGGGTCAGAGGGGTGAGAAGGACCTGCTCCCACAGCACCTGGTGCGGGTGCCCCTTTCTGAAACATTTAATGCCTGTTTCCCAGGAGACCTCGAGCTCCAGGCCGGCAGCTCCCGGCTGCCTCATTCCTGCTCTGTCTCCGGTGCTCATTTACCTCCTGCCTGTCACCTCCAGGCGACTCTAAGTTCCACGGGAGCAGGCGACGTGTCTGCTTCTGCGACTGCCTTACTCCCAAGGCCCAGCACAGGGCCTGGCACATGCCAGGGGGGCCGCAGTACAAAGTCACCGAATGAACGAACAGCTCAAACAATAGCACACGAATGAACCCGTTGAATTGCACTAAACTCCTGCCCCCTGAATTCTAGTTCCCTGTTCGCTCCACTACTCCCTAAATGAAGCTTCCAGAGGAGAATGGGAGCCTGCCGAAGTGCTCTTAACGCGACAGGACAGCTGCTATGGGACTGGGAAAAGGGACCGCGAGCAGGGCAACCTCACCGGGAGAGGCATTTCACTGGGGGTCAACCGGCCCCGCTCTTCAAGCTTCTGGGGTGTGGAGCTGGCCCCGTCCCCTTGCAAGCCGCTGTGCTGGAGGATGTTGCTGAAGACCTGTGAGACACAGAGGTGACTCTCCCACCAGCTCCAACCAGCAGCTCGGACCCCTGCCTCCCCAGGGGTGGGTGATCTGAAAACTGCCGTGGCCTCTGGAACCTAAGCCAGGGCTCCCAGGACACCAGCTGAGACAATGACCTGCCCAGAGAGCAGGGTCAGAGTGGACACGGTGAAGTAGAGATGAGGGGGGTATTCTCTTCACAGGATTACGGTGAGGATTAAAAAGATAAAATGTACGTAGAGCCCCCAGAATCACGCAGATGTTATCCGACTGGAGAGGCTGGGCAAGTGCACGATAATATTGAAGATATCTATTCAGTAATATACAATGTGTTTTTCAATCCCCTGTAGATGGCACTTATGGAAACTACTGAAATAAAAGACAAATCAACAGTGAGGGGACACAGCGCCGATGGTAAAATCATGTAAACCTTCGGCTGACTATGCTATCTGTAAGCATGCTAGTCCCCCAGAGACCTTCGGGAACTGGCTCTAGGACCCCCGCCGATACCAAAACTCACAGATGTTCAAGGCCCTTATATAAAGTGGCGTTGTGTTTGCATATAACCTACACCCATCATCCTGTATACTTTAAATCATCTCTAGATTACTTATAATGCCTAATCCAATGTAAACGCTACATAAATAGTGGTTATACTGTATGGTTTAAGAAATGACAAGAAGTCTGTACATTTTCAGCACAGACACAACCATCAGAGGCCTAACTGTTTAGTACACATCAGCAGCAATGTAACATTTAGAAAAACACATTTTCGATCCATGGTTGATTGAATCCCCAGATGCAGAACCCATGGATACAGAGAGGCCGAATGTATTCAAAAAGTTACCATGAACAGTGAATTCTCTTGGTGATGGGGTGGAATCATAGAGGAATATTAATCTTCTATTTTTTTTTATATTTCCCCATGTTTTATAATGAGCATTATTATTTCATTAAATGATTTTATAAAACTTTATAGCCCTTATTTGAGAAACCTAGCTCTCTGGCGGGGTTCTTAGAGGCTTATGGCTGTCAGCAAACACAACATGCAATCCAAGCCTTTCTGTACAAGTGCAGCACTTGACGGCCCTCAGAGCTCAATCCTGTTCAAGAGGGGAAAGAGCGAACGTGAAGTGTGTGTGAGAAGCAGGACACGGAGACCTTCTGGGGAGGGAGGGGTGTGGGGAGTAACCCTTTCTCCCAGGCTCAGCAAAGTCAAGGTCACCACCAGGTGGGGAGGGGGTCTGCTTCCCAAGCTCGTCCTCCTCTGGGCAGGGCTGAGAGCTGGTACCTGAAGGATGGTGGGCATGCTTTCATCCAGGTCATTGTAGTAACTTGGCTGCTGGTTAAAGATGTTTCCTGAAAAGAGAAGCGAACGGTAGAAATTGGGAAAAGAGAGGGGGGCGGAGAGGATATAGTACAGCAGGTTACCAGCAGGTTCTGTGACCTCTCTTCCCTTTCCTAAGCCTGAGCAGTCCTGGCCCCAGGCCCTGCTGGCACCCAGCTTCGGCCCAGCCTAGAAACTTCCCAGGGCGGGGAGGAACTTGCTTGGTACAATTTAACCTTTTAAGCACCTCTGCCCAGCGAGTTACGCAAAAAGCCTGCCCTGGTCAGACCAGCTCGCTGACACCCCAGGGAGGGATCACGCTTGGGCACTGTGCCTGCCGTGACAGCATCGGCTTTGGAAGTGAGAGTCAGCCATCTCTCTGCTCAAGAAATCTGGATGCCAAATCCAGGATTCTTGCCAGGCCACGTCTTCAATAATGTGAAGGAGTCTAAGGAGACATTTCTTTGGAAATTCTCTCACCCTCTGCTTTTGAATATGCTGGCCATGCCATGCGATCCCACTCCAAGGAGAGAGGCCTGCAAGGGACCTGACGCCCTCCCCATTCCTGGCATCGCACCTCCTCCTTTGCACCATCCTCAACCTCAGAGGGAGGGACCTCCCATAAGGCAGGTGTCACCTTCTCCAGGCAATATCTCCTGACCCAGGCATCAGGAGCCGGTCTCCTCCCATCATTCCCAGGGCCACACCATGGTCCCCTCGAACCCGAACGACCCGGCCTGGGGGAAGGCACTCTCTCAGATCTTTCCAACGCTTAAGCCCGGGGAACAGGGGTTTTTATAAGCGTCAAAAGAGATCTTATTTCACAATCTGCCCTTGGGGACTTTGAAGTCCCATTCCTCTCCTTTATCTGATTTTGATGATGGCGAAGAACTTTGATCTCTTAAAGGAATAATTTAACAGGCCTGGGACAGCACCCTGGCACGTGTGGCTCAGTTGGTTGGAGCATCATCCCATGCACCAAAGGGTTGTGGTAAAATCATGTAAATCTTTTACTGCTTACCGGTCAGGGCGCATACCCAGGTCTTGGGTTTGACCCCCAGTTAGGACATGGGAGGCAACAGATCGATGTTTCTCTCTTGCATCAATGTTTCTCTCTCCCTCTCCCTTCTTCTCTCTCTAGAATCAATGAAGGACATATCCTCGGGTGAGGATTTTAAAAATAATAAATTTTTAAAAAATGGGACAGCAATGGCATCCTTAGAAACGTCGCTCCTCAGCCGAAACAGTTCAGAAGCCCAGGGTGAGGAGAAAGTACTGGGTGTTTGGAAGACTGTGTCCTACAATTTCAAGGTGAGCAAGACGGACAGGGGTGCCCGGGTGAGCACCTCTCCACGCAGGGCCCGCTGCCATGAGCTGCGACTCAAAGGGCATTGTTCCCTCTGTCGCATCCCGACAAAGCTCCTGTCTCTGACGGAGCCTTCCAGCCCACTGCCTCCGGACAGGAGCCAAGTGCTGACGTCATTCCTTTCACAACTCAGAGAGTCCTCGCTGAACTCTGCCCCCGTCTGTTCTCAGCAACAACGCAAATCATGTCAGTTCTGAGGCAGCCCCAGCATCCCTGAGGCAGGGAGTGGCGGAGAACAAGAGCTAGGGAGTCAGGCCGACGTGACATCAATCCCAGCTCGGCCACTTGTTAGTCACGGCCTCTTACACTTGAAGCTCAGTGTCCTTGTCTGTAAATGGGGAGGCGACAGCACTACATCACAGGGCTTGTGAGGATCAACTGACAGAACACGAGGAGTGCTCAGCCCCGCAGTGAACACCCAGATACAGGCGAGCTGTCACCACTGCTCTTCTGCTACCAGCTTCCCCACTCCTTCAACTGTTCAACTCACAGCCTCACACGAAGACTCCAAGATCCCCGAGGAACCGTGTGGGACAGCTTTCTGTCTCCACTCCCCCAGCGCCACCAGCCACTTATTTCAGAGTCGACACACATACATCTCAGTTGTTTCCAAGCACCACCCACCACTGCTGCTCCGAATCCCCCGCACTCCTCTAGGCGCCACCTCTGGAGCCTCTGGTTTGATTTATGGGGCATCTCCGTGCACCCCCAGCCCCACACCCCACACCCCACACACCTATCATCTTCTTGAGCAGCGGCGAGTTGCCTTTTCCAAAGAGCACGCAGAGGTCCAGGATCTTTGGGATGTCAAACAGGAAGTTATTGTAGAGGATTTCTCCAAACGCAGAGGGGGAAATGAAGTGATCCTAGGAGCAGGGCAGAGAGAGGGTGAGAGACTGTCTGAATGCAGATGCATCGTAAAGTAAGAGCAAACGCAGGAGAAACAGCCTTCAGGCCCACCACAGGGACTGGATAGCAAATGAAGCTCCATCCACACTGTGGACACGTCTGAGACTCCTATATTGACCTGGGGCAACAGCCATTTCATGCAAAAAGGAGCAGAAGTACACGGTGCAACAGTTGGTTGGAGGTTCATTCTAAAATAGTTATGGGTGATTTACCACGATGTCTGGGATCACTTTCAAATACTCCAGAAAGAAAAAGAATCTCTGGAGGCGGGAGAAAATGAGATCGGCAAAATGTGGATAATTGTTTTAAGTTGGGTGATAGATACATGGGGTTCATCATTTTGTGATTTTTGAAAATTTCCATACTAAAAAAGTTTTAAAGACCCCACAAGATCCTATTTTTAAAATAAATACACACACACACACACACACACACACACATCCCGCTACTGAAAGGAAAAATAAAATCCCCTAAAGAAACAGGCACCTTAACAGTAGTTATTAGGGGGAGGGGATTTTGTAGGTAACCTTCACTATTGACAAAATATTTCTGTAATGTTTGTGTTGTTTAGAGACAGTATTATTATTATTATTATTATTTATTGGTTTTAGAGGACGGGATAGAGAGAAACATTGATGTGAGAGAAACACCGATCGGCTGCCTCCCGCATGCGCCCCAACTGGGGATTGAACCCACAACCTGGGTATGTGCCCTGACCAGGGATTGCATCCACCACCTTTTGGGGTACAGAATGACGCTCCAACCAACCAGCCAGGGCAGCAGCGTTATTATTTGTAAAATTGGGGGGTGGGAGGAGTAAAGGTTTTTAAACAGCACATACAAGTTCCTTTCAAAAATGAGAATCAGTATTTTCACCCTCTGACGCACAAGGAAAGGCAGAGTCACGCGTCAACTGGCAAAGGGCCCTGGGCTCCCATTGATGGAAACACTGGGTGTAATGCAGACGGACCCGGGGAGCTAGAGGATAAGGGAGGTGGCACAGATTTCTTCCCCAACAGGGGGAATAAAGGCGGAGCGGAGACAAAGAGGAAACGCGATACTTCCAGAGCCTTCCTTCCCAGGACGGAGAGAACGCACTGGGGTGTTGGGTGTCGGTGGCGACCTGTCACGGGACCAGGGGCTTACTTTGGATTCCTTGTGAGTGGACATGCGGAGGAAGGTGAGAAAAACACTGCGATGGAGACGCTTCTGCATGGCAGCCACCTCGGGGGCCGGGGCCACCCACTCGTCGAACTTTCGGGGAACATAGTGCAGGTAGGAGTCCAGGCACTTCTGCAGGGTCTCGTCGAAGATGACCTGAGCCAGGCAACAGAGGAGAGCAAGGGTTGTCACCGACACCCAAGGGCTTGCGGGTGGACTGAGCAGGGGCTCGCGGCCGTGGCCAACACTCCAACCCCAAGGGACTGAGAAGGTATGAATGAGCGAGGGCTACACACAGTTTCTAAAAATGACACGTGGGAAGGTGTTGTATAAACATCATTAAGATTGTGATACAAGACAGAGCCATCCAAACCACAATTTCCTGTTAAGGATCCAGTGAAAAAAGGAGAGAAAAAAGCCTCTCCTAGGAGGAGAGAAACAACAACAGAAACCAACCAAACAGCATGGCATGTGCTTTGTCTTAGCGTTAATTTTGATAGAATGTTACCTGGCACCAGAATTTATCGTGAGGCAAGGCCAGGAGCCAGTCGAGGTCATTGGCTACGAAGGTGGCGCGCTCCAGGTACTCCTCCACTAGGGCGGGAATGTTGTCTTTAGGGGGCGGTTTGTATAACACAAAATACCGGTCTGCCTTCTGCTCGGGGTGCTACGGATCCAAAAACCACGTGTTACCGTGGCAGAGGTTAGTCAGCGAGGGCCCATCTGCCAACCCACAGCAATGACAACACTGGGCTGTTCCAACCGGTGACCCTCCAAGGAGCTTTTAAGCATAAAGAACCAAGTGTGTCTGACAAAGGGGCTTGGTTGCGTCATGAGAACACTAGGCGGGCTTTAAAAACCATGTTTTTTTGGAGAATACTTTCATCACATGGGGAAAGGTTAAGAAAAGAAAAAGCAGGATACAAACCTCTCTAGTTAATATAATCAGCTTTTGGATTAAAAAAAAGCAGACATTAGATAGATAGATAGATAAATAGATGATAGATAGATAGATAAATAGATAGATGATAGATAGAGAGAGAGATAAATAGATAGATGATAGATAAATAGAGAGACAGATTTAACACATTCACATACAGGCTAAAAAATAAAAGTGTGTGTGGGGACAACACTCTAAAGCTGATAGTGGTTGTCTCTGAGGGGGGATTTTGACTTGAAAATGCTTTCCAATTAAAAAAAATGAACATGTATTACTTTTTAAAATTATCTTTTAATTATATAAGTGAGACCTGAGCATCTTTTCTTTCAAAAGTTTACAACACGACAGAGAAGGTGAGCTGCCTGGGACTGCACTCCCAGCCCCGTGTCCGTCCACCCAGTGAGTGTCCTTGCAGACCCTTTGTAGGCATTTACGTTAAAATATACCCACAGAAGGTATTTGTTTAGATGTTTCCTCACAAAAATGGTATTATTCTATATGTGTTATGCTCTATCCATTTTATAATCAGGAAAAAACACCTGAGTCATTCTTTTTTTTAAAGAAAAGATGCTAGTCGAGTAGTGGCAGGTCTTGGCTTAGATTCACAAGTTCTCTCTCCCAACCCCTACCTTGCCATGAACAGACCTGACTTTGTTCACCATGAAGAGCCCAGTTTGCTCCTCTGACTGCATAAGGGCTGCTTTCTCCAGGGGAAATGGTAACAGGAGGAAGAGCAGGCCACATCTCAGCTGTTATCAAACACAATCCACCCACTTCCATGTCTGCCAGTCCAGGGGGGACAGGAAAATCTCCACCGATTGCTAGTCTCCTTGACAACCACCTATGCCTCCCTACTGCCTAAGGCAAGTTTTACAGGACTGTGGAGTCTGGGTTCCACAAGGAATCCTGTGGTGGTGGTGGGGGGGCGGGGGGGGGGGAATCTCTGGGTGGGTCTTTAGGACCCTTCCCATTTAAATTAAAATTTATACAGTGGGGTTCCAGGTGCAAATCTTTGAAAAAGGAATCCTGCTGACTGAACCCAGTTCAAAACTACTCTCTAAGGTCTAAATTCATCTCCTGGGTTTCCTGGGTTTCCTGGGTTTCCTGGCTTCCCGAAACTCTTATCTGTTTGACACCTCACCTCTTAGGTCATTCATTGCTCAGGCCAGGTTACTCACCCTTCCTCCACTCCGGAAACAGAGCCGCCCCTCCCCGCCACCCCAAGATCCTACTTTCCTTACCATCCTACAAGCATGGACTGGAGCCCTGCTGTGGTGTATGTGGCACAGGAAGAAAAGCATCTGTGTGCTCAGAGACCATGCTGCAGCGGGGAAGATGCACATCTAAGCCATCAAGAGAGCACAAAACAGAGCAAGTGGCAGCTCAGACCTGCCAGAGGGGCTGTGGGAGCGCAAAGGGGATGGACAAATGGAGGACAAGGGCCAGCTCGCTTCCCAGAGCAGCAGCGTCTGAGTTGGGCCTTGGAGAATGGGAAAGATTTTTAGAATGAAGAAGCGGTATTTTTATGGAGGCATAAAAACGCACCATAAAAAAAAGAGGGCACAGATTGCCCTGGGAGGTAGGAGATGGATGTGGAGGGAGAGAACACTGGAACGATGACAATAAAAGCCACCAGTTACCGAGGGCCTGTCCTGTGCCTGCTGCTGAGCAGGCATGTTCCCCAGCCTTTCTTTCTTACCTACAACAACTATTGAAAAGGGAGATAGTTTTTACAGGGGAGGAAACAAAGACTCGATAAGCTTCAGGAACTTTGCCAAAGTCACATGGCTAAGGAGGCAACTGAGGCAGCGTGTGCACCAAAGCTTACACTGCAGACCTACTAAGTGACCTGTGGTACCCATGTGCCATCCTGGTCTCACTGCTTGTCCTTTTGAGGTGAGGAAGGCCCAGATACTAAGGCCTTTGCAGAACCCTGAATGTCAAGCTCAGAGTAGGGGCTTTATTTCGTAGGTAATGGGGGCCGTGGGAGATTTCAGGGCAGGGAGTGGCAGGCCCCAGCTGTATCTTCAGCCCCCAGAGCTGGCTTAGGTCCCGCCTGCTCAAAGGAGCTTTCTGAACATTCTCTGCCCACCACACTTCCTGATAAGTAACCATCTGCACCGTTCTCCAACTGCTCCCCTTAAACGAGTCTTGTCTTCCTCCAAAGCGCACTCACCCATTCTGGCCCAAGACTTGCTTTGGGGTATTCAACAGCACCAAGTGTGCACTGTGCACACAGTAGGTACTCAATAAACATTAGCTTGACCCATCACCCTGCAAAGGCGGCATGGTGGCTGTCCCTTGGCTAGAGATCTCCTTGTCCCACGTTAGGACTAAAGATACAAATACAGGGTGTCTTTTAGGAGCTTCTCAGGACAATATTTTAGGAGCTTCCAGCGGCCAGCAGGGTAACCCTCTTCAGCATGGCCAGCAAGACTACTCCTCGTTCAGGCAACTGTCTTCCTCAGCTCATCCCTCTCCCCACCCTACTCCCATTCAAGGCTCCTGTCACGGTCACTGTTATCACCATCATTACTGCGTGTTTACTATGTTCTAGTACGGTGCTAATTCAGACGTCTCGTGTGATCCTCATAGCCACCGCACAAAGCTGGCTCTATTATTACCCCTTTTAGGTCCCGAGGTATGGAGAGGTTACGTAACTTGCCCAAAGTCACACAGCCAAGTATGCGTGACATTTGACTCAAAGCCCCTGGGATACTGTTTCCACCGCAGGTGACGGGTGGTTGGTGTAGGAGTCAGGCTCTCTCAAAACAGCACACTCGGTCCTCCTGCCAGACCCACCCTTTGCCGACTGCTCTGCCCGGCTAACGCTTATTCATCCTTCAATACCCATGTCAGGATCTCCCTCCTTAAGGAGCCTTCCCTGGCTGTGCATGTCCTCCCACTACTCCCGAGGCCCCCCCGCCTACACACCCCGCTTTGGTCTGGATCAGCAGCCTGGACTTCCTTGACCACCACCCTGATCACAAAGCAGAGAAGCTACTGGTCTGCTTTTCTCTCAGACCATGGGCAGCTCCAGGGCAGGAACCATGTCTTTTCTCTTTGCAGCTCCAGTGCCTGTCACAATGGCTGCTGGGGTCCTTGACTCATTTACTGAATCTTCCTGGCCCTGGGGAGCCAGAATGAAGAGAAGGCACCAGGTCCCTGCTCTCCCGGAGCCCACAGTCCAGCAACCCTGGTGTTCCGTGTGCGGGGAAGGCCTGGGGTGGAAAACTAGACCCAACCACTCAAGGAACCCGTCTCCTCCGGTCCTGTCCACAGAACTTTCTGCAGTAACGGAGCTGCCCTACACCCGTGCAGGCCACCACTTACCCCAATGGGGCTACTTCACTTTAACTAAAGTTAAAATAAATGTCCAGTTCTTCAGTTGAACAATCACATTTCAAGTGCTCAATTGTTATGTCTGGCAAATGGCTACCCTATTGGACAGAAGAGCTTTCGATTTTCTGATCAATGTCCTCCTTACATAAAAAGGTCACAAAAAAGAAATAAGAGGTTTTATAGCAGAAAGATGATGGGTCTGACCTCTAGGGTCAGCCTGGCTGGATTCCCCTCCTGGCTCCCCTAATTTCCTATTTCTGTGACCCTGAACTCTCTGTTTCCTCATCTGTGAGATGCGGACAGCCAAAATACCTACTCACAGGGCTACGGTGCAGCTTACAAGAGATAATCCAGGTGGGGTGTTTAGGAGGGTTTGGCCCACCGCGAGTGCTCCGTGCCTGCTAAGTACTATTAATAATACTCTTGGGAGCAATGGGAGGGCATGCGCGGCCTAGACAGTAGTTAGGAAGTAACAGGAAGCCATTCAGAAAGCAGGAAATAGAACACCAAGCTCTGGTTTCCCACCACTTGACTCCAGCCCCGGGAAAGTACTTCCTCCCACCTTGTGCGAGTAAGCTCATCTTCTTGGGAAAACAGCGAGTGGGCAGGGGGACTCCAGGCCCCGGGTCTGGCTCCTTCAGCAGCCTGGCACCTCCCTGTGGCTCTGATCTCCCTCTGCAGCTGGTATCTGGCATCCTCACAGCCTCCTTCGTTTTCAGTCTCACGGGCCCTGCCGAGTCTGTATGTGGCACTTCTCAGCCCACTGACATTGAGATCAAAGACGGCCGGACCTCTGAAATCAGTGTTCCCCCCGAAGCGTGGATAGCAGCTGAGATAGCTCTGAAAAAGGCCTACCTGAAACCTGAACCCCTCCCACAGGGCCAAATGCCCAAACCCGGCTTTGGGATGGATCCATTTCCAGGCCAGCTCAGGCTAGCCAGAACTGCCCTCCGACTCTGACTCAAAATGCAATGCTTTGGGGGAAGGTGTGGGGAGGGGACAGGGAAAATACGACTCAAATTCAGGCTGCGGCTTGGAGCGGAAACTTCTACGCTGGGCCTGGAAGGACCTGGTAGTGTCCCAGCTACTGGATTACCGACTGTGGCCCTGAGGTCACTCTTGGAACAGATAAAGAAGGAATTTACTTCGCACTTTTGAAATTGCAAGAATGATAACATCAGTCCGAAAGGCCCCAAGGCACCGGCTCACCAGCGCTGGTGATGTCCTCAGCTTTCCTGTCTTCAGGTCCTTGTGGGTGATCTGGAGTTGGTCCAGGGGCAGAGCTGGCATTGTGCTGCGTGACCCTCCTGAAAGGAAGATGGATGGGAAGAGAGAGCAGACACATAGGCTCCTGGTGCAAGGGCCTGCTCTGGGCTGGTCCCGGGAGCTGCAACCGCTGGCCTCAAGGGACTCCTGACAGGAGCCTCAAAGGCCTGGCTCCTGTACTAATCCAGGCTACAGTGACTACACACTCCCACCCTTTGAGGACCGGTCCCACGTGCCTAGATGATCTATTATGGCTCCAGCTCTGGGCCCTCCTTGGCCTGTGAGCTCTGTGAAGCCAGTGCCCAGCTCTCCTCCTCCTCCTCCTCCTAACTTTCCCAGGACCAGCACAGGCTGGTGGAGAGGTGGCCTCATCCAAATGTTTGATGAACAACGAACTGAACAGGATACTTTTGTTATAACTCCAACCAGATTTTAAGTCTTTGAGGGCGAAGCCATGGGCCTTTCCTCACCTGTGGAGTGTGTTTAGATTCTATAACCTTTCTAGGCTTCGGGGGGGAGGGACATGGATAGACAGAAGGATCAAGGAGGATGACAGAATTCACAGAAATGTGCTAGTACGAGCTCCTTTCTAGAGGCCCAGATCGGCCTCAGAGTCAGCGAACGGCAGATCGCACGTCTTCTGTCTTCCCGTCCAATGCTCTTTTCACAATACCAGTGGCCTGACCCACTGCGGGGCTGTGCACATTGGCTGTATCATGGAATGAAGTGAATCAGGCCCTTTAACAGACACGCCATAACCGTCAGCGTCAGCACCGTCTCAGTGACAACATGAAGACATACTAAGGCCGGGATGAGGAGACCATCACCTCCGAGCCCTCGCAGAGAAGCTGAGGGGCACGATCATCCATGCGTTACATGGACTATATACGTATACATGGGTGTCCATATCTGACATCAGGCCAGGGCCTGGTGTTCGGAAGACACCCCGATAAGGCAGGGTCTCTTCCCTGAGGAAGCTCACGCCCCAAAATAATGACAACAGCCGCAGGAGCAGCGTGTTTGTCACGTGCTGGAAACTCTTGCTCGGCGTGAACCTCAGTCCACACGTGTTAAACTCACTGCATGTATTCATGCTCACACCAGCTCTAAGGCTGGTTCTGTTAGCATCTTCACTTTACCAATGCGGAAATCGAGGGTAATGGCGCTAAGTGTTCAACACAGGACTTGGTGTGTAATAAGCACTCGATAGAGTTCACTGGTTGTTACCATTCAAGTCCTGCCATAGGCAGAGCGCCGTGGGCTTCTTCACTCACTCAGCACTGACTTCAAACGTGCAGGGTCTGCCAGCACCGGTTTGGCTCAGTGGGATAGAGCGTCGGCCTGCGGACTGAGGGGTCCCAGGTTCGATTCCGGTCAAGGGCATGTACCTTGGTTGCGGGCACATCCCCAGTGGGACATGTGCAGGAGGCAGCTGATTGATGTTTCTTTCTCGTCAATGTTTCTAACTCTCTATTCCTCTCCCTTCCTCTCTGTAAAAAATCAATAAAATATTTAAAAAATATTTTATGATTTGGTGTGGCCAGAGCTGTAACAGGAAATCCCCAAAACAAGCACAGCAGAGAAAGGGAGAATGCTACAGGGAAAGTGACCTGTCACCGGGTGGTTGGAGGGTAGCATGACAAGATAGGAAGGAAGGGGATTCCAAGCAAGGAGCGAGCGTGAGCCAAGCCTCAGAGCCTGTGGTCTGAAGGAAGGGCAAGACATGGTTGGAAACGCCAGGTCAGGGAGGGGATGACAGAAGTGGAGAGAAGATGCTGGAGAGGAAAGATGGGGCCAGTTTGTTTGTTTGTTTAAGCCTTGAATGCCATGCTAAAGATTTTGGCTTTTCATCTGCAGGCAGTGAGGAGCCACTTAAGTAGAGGAGAGGCATGATCAGAAAGAGAAGGCAATAACCTGGTGGCAGGAGAGACCTCCTAGAAACCACTGGAGAGCAAAGTGTATCTTAATCCTCTCACTCCTCCACCCACCGATTTCCGAGCACCTCTGATCCAGGCACTGAAGCTCGCAGGAGGCTCAGGTGCACACATAACAGGCCTGCCCTGCCCTGCGTGGAACTTAGTCTTGAAGGGAAAGACAACAATGAGTCAAACAGCCATACAAACAAGTAAGTCTCAACACCGTGATGTACGCTACGTAGGTGAGGCCCGTGCAGCTAGGACAGAGAACTGGCTGGGCAGAGGAAGGCTGCCAAGGAAGACGTGCGTTAGCCTCTAACGCAGTGGTTCTCAACCTTGGCTGCACGTTAGCATCACCTGGGAATCTTTTAAAAATCCTGATTTCTGGGCCTCCTCCTCCGGAAATTCCGTTTCTTTGTTATGGGGTGAGGCCACAACATGAGTAACAAAGAAACAGAATTTCCGGAGGATGAGGCCCGGAAATCAGGATTTTAAAAAGATTCCCAGGTGATTCTCATGTGCAGCCAAGGTTGAGAACCACTGAGCTAACATGTGGGCAGGAACTAACGCGGCACAGAAGGAACCTGAAGTTCCGAAAGAATAAGGACAATGATCGTGACAACGTCTGTGCCACCACCGTTGCAACCCCAGTGCCAAGCGGGACAGCAAGGCCGAGAGTTAGGAAAGCACCTTCTTTAGGAGGGGAGCTCGGGGCCAGCACCCATTACTGTAAGGCCGGGGCGCATTCCCCGGGCTGCGGCTGCCTCCGTTTCCCTGTCATCGCCCTTCTGGTCTCCACTCAACGTGACCCTCCTTGAGGTGCCAGACGGTCCTATCTCAAGTCTCCACTCCCCCCGTTCCGGTCGTATATTCAATTATCTTGAGCCTTTACCTGTCACCGGCCGTCTCCTCCCGCTGGACTGTGCACTCCATGCGGGCAGGAGTCTTGTCTGTCTGGTTCTGTTTGCATCCCCAAGTGCCCAGATCTGTGCCCGGCACGTAGGCGAAACGTGCCGTCTATGTGTGGAACTAATGAATGAACCCCGAGGAAACTGAACAGCGCGGTCCCCCCGCCCCCGGATGGGCTTGCGGGGACCTCGACTCGTTTCAAGTCACTCTGGGGCCGAGCCTCGAACCCCGATACTTTCTGGCCTCGTGGGAGGCGGGGGGCGACTCCAGGCCCCTGGGGCAGCACAGCCCGGGCGCGGTCGTGGAGACAGAGAGTCCCCACGGCTCCTCCCCGGCCCGGTGCCCCGCATCCAGCCACGCACTCACCTCGGCGGCTCCACTACCGGCTCCGTGCCGCCGCCGCTGCCGCCGCCGCGGTCCACGGTGACAGCTCCCCGTCCGCCGGCACTTCCGGGGTCAAACGGCGATTCCGCAGACGGTGATAGGAAGCCTCGACCCGGCCCCGCCCCCGGCGCCAACTGCCACCAGGAAGCCGGGCCCGAGGCCACGCCCCCAGCCTGAAGACTCCGCCCCCACAGGGACCGGTCTGACTGTAGCCACGCCCTCATCGCGCCTTTCTCCCCGAGGATGGAAGGTAATATTCGGTTGTGATTCCACCTTTTGGAAAATCCAAGTAGCAGTGGTTCTCAACCTTCTGGCCCTTTAAATAAAGTTCCTCATGTTGTGACCCAACCATAAAGTTATTTTTGTTGCTACTTCATCACTGTAATGTTGCTTACTGTTATGAATCGTCATGTAAATATCTGATATGCAGGATGGTCTTAGGCGACTCCTGTGAAAGGGTCGTTCGACTGCCAAAGGGGTCGCGACCCACAGGTTGAGAACCTCTACAAGTAGCATGCTCAGAGAACCATCCCTCCTACTTCAGTGCACTTGGAGTAGGACAGACTCCTTAACCAGAGTGGAGGGGTATGCGATATTGTTAGTTCTCTACTTCTGTGCAACAAAATTACCCCCAAACTCAGTGGCTTAAAACAACGCCACACACATAGTAGGTGCTCAAGAAATTTTAGAGAGGAGGAAGGAAGGGAGGGAGGGAGAGAATAAGGAAGGATATTCTATCAGTGTTAACTCTTGCGTTTCTTTCATCTTTGTTTTCTCTCCTTTGCATGGAGAGATTAATGAGGAGTGTGACCTTCTAAAGGAGGCATCCTTGTCTGAGCTAACATATGTCCAACTGGAACTAAATTAAAAAGCAATTCTGGGTATTAATCATTTATTATTGCACGTGGTTTCTGTGGGTTAGGAATGAAAAGAAAAACAGTTGAAGGATGAGACTTCAGCTCTGTCCTATTGCGCTGTGCAAAGCGTGTGTGTTCTCAGCAGGCTTCCCTCAGTTCTCATGTGCTGGGTGCACTGGCTCCCACAGCGGCTTCACCGCCTCTGGCTCCTTAGAGCCACAGAGACCAGCAGCACTCTGATCTTTTTGATAATGTATTATTTTTATCATTGGAGAAAAATTGCATACTTTAAAGTGAAAAAAAGGGGGGGGGGTATGGCTGCTTGAATATCCGCACATCATAGCCCCTGGCTTCCTTCAGAGAGAGCCATCCAAAAGATCAAAGTGTCTTGGCCCGGTGGTTCTGGCTCAGGGTATCTCGTGAAGATGCCATCACATGTCAGAGGTGACTGCATTCATCTGAAGCCTTGATCAGAGCCGAAGAATCTGAGGTGGCTCGTTAATGTGGCTGGCAAGTTGGCACCGAAGAGGATGCTATTTAGTCTGAGTTTTCTGGAAATTTGGGAACCAACAGGTGGGAAGAGCTCAGGCAGTAGCAAAGTATCTTCATGAGAAAATGAAATAACAGCCTGAAATCTCTTTGCAAAGTGTTCCATAAATATACTAATTTCATAATCCACGCTGTCCCCAGCCAGGAAATGCTGTCTCCAGCAGC